CAGCAGGTCTGGCAGCATCTGTGAAGGGAAAAACAGAGTTAACATTTTGGGTCCGGTGCATTCTGAGGAAGGGTCATGGGACCCGAAATGTTAACTGTGTTTTTTCCTTCACATTTGCTGCCAGACCTGCTGAGCCTCTCCAGCAATTTTGTTTTTGTTGCTGTTGTTGTTGTTGAAGATCTTTCAGCTTGATTGGATAACAATTGGAGCTAGAGGGTGGATGAACTAACTGTCCAAGGCTCTGTGATACAAGAAGCAATTCAAGTGGAGGAACAGAGATCAAAGAAATGACAGTGGAGAACAATATAGTGAGAGGGATTGACACTGTTTTCTGCCCCAAATGGCAGGATACCAGAAAGCTGTCTAGTGCAATTTTTCACAACATTTGCTCATGGAATGGAAAGGAACTTACAATTAGAGGATGGGGATTTCATCATCATGTTTCATGTAGGTACCAGCAAAAGACAGGACAAAGAAGAAGTTCTGTATAGGTCAGTATGAAATAGGCACCAAATTAAGAAGCAGTTCCTCCAAGGTAATAACCTCTGGATTGTTACTTCAACCACATTTTGTTTTGTTTACCCTTTAGAACACAGACTATCAAGGTTTGTGTGAGGCAATGACTTCTGGAAGTGGAACACAATGTTGTCTTGGAACTCCGATAAGCATGCACAGAACTTCCCAGCAGCCATAGAGGGAATTTTGCTGAGTCATGTAAAAATTGGCACAGGACCAATAGGATTAGAGAAATGAATGCATGGCTGAAAGACTGGTTCAGTATAAGTAATTCTGGTTCATGGAATAGTGTGACTAGGCAAAAGTGGAATCTGTACTGTTGGAACAGTCTCGACCTGAACCATGATGGGGCTAGTGTTCTGCTGAGCTATGTATTTAGGGAAGTAGAAGAGAAAATGTGATAAAGCAAAGAGTAGAAACAAAGGCAAGAGTGAAAGGTATAATATGGAATATGATAAATAGACCATAACAGGAAGCAATTGTACAAATCAGTGTGAATCAGCAGATATGGCTAGAGGTGAAAACATAAAAAAAGGACAAAACTAAAGGTTCTATATCAATGCAGTTAGCTTTCAAAATAAAGCAGATGAACCAACAGAACAATTAGAAATAAGTATGATCTGGTAGGTATTTCACAGACATTGTTCTAGAGCCAACCAGAGAGTAGGTTATACTTTACCTGCTATTGTGCAACAAGACCAGGTTAATTAATAAGTTCATTTAAAGCACTCCTACATATAATAATCATGATGATTTCATTTTATATTCAGTTTGAGAGACAGAGTTGATCCAAGAGTGGTATTTTAAACTTTAGTAGAGAAAATTGTAAGGATATTAAAGCAGAGCTGGCTTAAAAAAAACTTGCAAGTTAGGTTAAGAGATGGATCATTAGAGTGGCAGATATTTAAAGGACTATTTCAGAATACACAATAGATAAAATTCCTTAGGGAAGTCCCACAGTCTGATTAACTAAAACAAATTATCAAATTTGAAGGAATGATGTGGAACTGACCAAATAGTTGGAGCTATGGTCTGTCAAGTCTCCAGGCGTTAGAAGAAATAGTCAATATGTTGGTTAAATTTTCCTCAAATTCTAGATTCCAGGAAAGTTCCAGTAAATTGAAAGATAGCAGATATAACTCCTTTTTCAAGAAAGAGAAGGAGACAAAATGGGAAACTACAGAACAGTTAGCCTAACATCTGTCATCTGGAAAATGTTAGAAGCTATTATTAATTATGTTATCACATAACGCTTGAAAAAAATCAATGCAATTAGGTAGAAGCGTCATTGTTTGAGGAAAGGATATCATATTTAAGTAATTTGGTGAAGATCTTTGAAGAAATTAAGCACTGTGTCTAAAGGGGAATAGGTAGATGCACAGGACTTGAACATCCAGAAGACATTTGATAATGTGCCACATCAAAGATTATTTGCAGAAAATAAAAGTTTAGGAGTTAATGATGTTGAGGCTAACAAATTCCTTGGACGATTGTCTAACTAATCATAAACAAGGTATAGATGTGCCATTTTCTGGATGGCAAGAAGTAATGAGTGCTATGTCACAGCAATCAGTGCTGGTGTCATAATCTTCTAAAATTCCTATAAATCAATTGAAGCAACCAAAGGTATGGTTGCTAAATTTGCTGATGACTAAAAGTCTAGTCAGAAAATAAATTGTGAAGAGGATTGAAGGAAACTACAAAGGAACACCGGTAGTTTAAGTGAGTGGACAAAGATCTGGAAAATGAAATGTAAAATGTGAAATTTTCCATTTTGGCAGGAAGAATTAAAAAAAAGCATGTTATCTAAATGGAAAAAGATTATAGAGCTCTGAGATTCAGAGGGATCAGGGCATCTTAGTGCATGAATCACAAGCGTTGGTTAGTATCAAGTACAGAATGCAATGAGGAAAGCTAATAGGATGTTTTTTATGTTATCAGACTGAATTGAAGACAAAAGTTATTCTTCATTTATATGGCATTGATGAGGCCACACCTGGAGTACTGTATATAGTATTAGCTTCCTTACTTAAGTATGGAAGCAGTTCATAGAGTGTTTAATAGAC